AGGGGCTTTCCTGTTCGCTGGCTTATCTTCTATAGCACCTTGCGGCCGCTGCATTATTATCGACCAATAGCTGTTTTCTGGGAGCTACAAGTTCTGCTAAATAGAAAAACAAGTCATTAATGATAAATATAGATGAAAATAAAAAATAAAAACTGAGAAACACATATACATCAAGATGATGTGTGACCTCACAACACGGGCTTCTAACTTAATTCAGTTCAATATTTTGTTTATCTATATTATTTAATCAAATGATATTGGATGAATAAAATAAATAAAAAATAATATTATGTAAGGTTACAAATATTATTTAAAAATAAATCTTTTTTTTTATCTATATAAAACATAAAACCAACAAATTATATATGAATTAGAATAATTTTTTCAAAAATTATATGCATATAAAATAAATAAAATAATAATTGTTATTTAAAAAAGGCTAAAACAAAATAAAATTAAGTAAATGCATTAATTTAAATATAAATTAAAAAATTAATTTGAAAAATACATATAAAAAAATGCATCAATTAAAAAAAATAAAAGAAATAGCTAGACATCGTTGAGATGGTAAGTCAAGAGCTTTTAAGCCCAGCAAGTCAAGTCAGTGTGAGACTTTTTTTAAGATCGTAAATAAATTTATCAAGAGTTAAAAATAAATTGAAAAATAGATTTACATTTGTAAAAAATTTTGAGTTTATCGATTCTGTGATAGATTGCGTAAAAGCCCCTCTTAAGGGTGGTATTTCTTCTCTCGTTTGTGTATCATATGATTACATGAGAAATTGGCAGCGCTGCAATGTTGGATCAAAAAATTTTATTTTGTTTTTGTATACCTTATTGGGATAGCATGTTTTGGGTTTTAGTAGTAATTGGAGTTGGAATGTGAAAGTTATTTATATAGATACAAGAGTTTTGTTTTAGTATGATAGACTAGGGTATAGAGTGGTTAAAAACTTTGATGAGAACTTTGACTTCATTCGTAGACATAAAACCCAGATTTTGAATTTTAAGATAGCAGTAATTAACTACTTTGTATTGGAATAATTTTGAAGTCTCCATCCAAATAATCCTTTTAGTTATTGTAAGTGCATGTATGCAACGTCCTAATGATATTGTAGTTATCCCTTGAGTAATGATGTAGTTATCCCTTGAGTCTCTAGAATAAACCTTAAAATGAATATATGTATTGGGAGAATGGTAATTCTCTTATGCGAATAATATGATATGAAAAAGAGTTTTGTTCCACCGTGCTTCCCTCCATCTTCTCTCCCAGTTTTTTTCTAAACACTTTGGAGGCTAAATGGTGTCTTCTCAAAAAAGTTCTTAAATCAGTCTAGAGGATGGTTGTGACCTATCTGTGCTTCTCAATATCAAGAGAGATCTTAAGCAGGCAGGTTATATATATATATATATTGCATGTTCTTTATTTTCATAAATCAAAAGAAATCAACTAGTTGGGATTGGGGCTTGGTTTGTTGTTGTATGCTTTTGATTTTGTTAGAATGGTTTGGTTTACTGATGTGGATGACTTCATGAAATATTTCAGAACAATTCTAAGTTCTTATTTCCTATTGTTGGCAGCAGGCTTTGTCATGGGAAAGAAGAGTCTTGGCAAGAGAAAAGTTTCTGACATATCTGAAGATAACATCTGGGAGATAACTACGAAATTTGAGAGTGTAAGCCTGCCTTCAAAAGATGATGCTTTTGTGCGTTCCCTCCATTGATTATCTGTGGCAGAAGCTGTAATTAAGTCTTCTTCCAATGCCCTTTGTCATGTAGGAGATGGATGCATGGATAAGTCTCTCTTCCTCATTCTACACTCTAATCTGAGTGAACGTGTATGAACTAAATTGCTGATGAATGCAAATAACGTTGTTTCTTTTTCGGGCATAAATTGTCAATAATTGCAAATTAACCTGTAAAGAGATGAGAACAGGATTAGTTTATGTTTAGGGCTTTTGGTTGACTTAACAGAAATCCTATTAAGTTCAAAATTTTCATCTTTCTTGCGGTCAGCCCTGTTGGAAACTGGACACTGGCTAGGTGTTGTTGTCTCTCAAAATTTTAAACCAGATGTTTCAGTTTTTTTTAGGGACATAGAGAATCCATTGCTTAAGGTTTTACCAGCATCTTAAGTTATTGAACACATTAACCTTTTTTACGATAAAAGAATATTGGACCCTTGGCATTTATTTCTCTTGAGAATTCTGTTTTTAATTGCAGCTGCACAAGCTAGTAAAGAGCTGCTGATCTCAGATCCTTCATTTTTCTTGCAGTTAGCCTCGTTGGAAGAGAGGCATTGGCAAGTTACTACTTATTTTTTTGTGCAGAAGCGCTGTCCTGCAATACTTAAACCAGATTTCTCATATCTTTGTTTGGGCCAATTCTAATTTTTATGCAGCGGTTATTGTTTAAAAAGCATAGCAAATCCATCTTTTAGGAATGGACTTGTGTCATAAATTGTTGAAAATATGGCCTTTTTTATGAATAAAAGGGTATTGATCAAGTAACCTTTGTTATGTATCTTTCGCGAGAATCTGGTTTAATTGCAGCTGCACAAGCCAGTAACAGCTGAAGGTTCTGGAGTAGAATTGACGACGAAGCGCGGAGAGCATCATGTGAATTTTTCTGCTAGCTCAGTTTTACTTCTAATGCTAAACTAACTGTTGTGTCAGTAGATTGCCTATAGCATGCATGCATCTGCAAAATTAGCTATTTATAATTTATAATTCATAATTCATCGATACTATTGTATTCATAGGGAGATACGGGATCCCTTGTGGGGCAACCGATCTACCATTTGTAACTTATCATTTATGATGGCGGGTATTCAGAGTCCATGAGCGTTCTAGAGAAGTTAATCAAATGACCAATTGGATCTGCTCTCTTGATACCATCAAGCCTTAGTAATCTTTCTCAAATGAGCACAGACCATTGGGTTCTGCTGTTTTGACCAATAGTTAGCACTGTAAACTTTTCAACCACAACTTAAATTCATAATTTGACGAGAAACTGCATCGATAGCTCACGAGGACATGGGCAGATCTAAGCTATCCAATGTGGTGTCCACATGCGATGGATTCGCTTATACGAATTTCAAACTCTGTCATCTAGTACTAGAAGTAACAGTTGAATGTCTTGGCTTGATTTCTACTACCCTAGGTGGACTAATTGGTAATTTCCACTTCTACTATGCTCTTGCTTCTACTTTGATCAGTATAGCAAAGCAGTACGACCTCTATGGATTACGGAGTGATCCAATCTGCAATTGATCCAGTTGGACCAATGGAGATGGAAAGAAAGAAAGAAAAAACTAAAAACAAAAGGCAAAGTACAACATGAAAAACAACAACATAGCATGTCAAACTGCCCTTTGTCTTCTTGCTTACACATTTACGAGATCTTATGTATCTCTTGCCGTGCTATTGAAGCAAACATACACTTTCTCAAACTGCCCTTTGTCTTCTTCTGGTCTTCCCTTTCCTGCAACGCTGGCACCAAAAAGGGCTGCAACACCAATTTAGAGACTTCCTGGCTTCTTTAAAGAAGTCCTTCATAGTGCTCAGAAATGAGACATATAAAGGGAACTGCATTAGTGCAAATACTGTCACTGGAAGGAAAGCAGCAATCGAAATCAGACCCGTGGTTAGTTCCTTCTTATAACGAATGATTGGAAAAAGGGTGCAAGCGAAAGAAAGCATGGTTGTCATAGCGGTGAGGAAGAGTAAAGCGAAGCCAAGGCTCAGTTTCCGTGGAATACTTTGATGGAATTTCTCATATTCAAAAGGAGTGGTGAGTATAGAAAGGAACATCACAGCTGAGGTGAGGGAGCTTACTATGGCGATAAGGTCCAAGGCAGTGAAAGCCAAGAAGAAACGGTTGTGATGGAAGATAGCAGAGCCTGGAACGTCAGAACCTCCAGGTATAGTGTAAGCGGCAGTATAGATAACCGTGGTCACAAGAATGGCTACTGTTGAGCATGACTGAGAGGTTTTCTGGCTCCAATCTTGCGCCAACTTGAGTTGTTTTTTGTGCTCCATTTGGAAGAGCTCATGTGCTGTCAATTTATTCTCGTTGTCACCTTGCAATGCTTGAGAAGGTGGAACCACCCTCAGCACCCGCTTCTTGGACAGAGAAGGTGGAAGCACCTTCAGCACCCGCTGCACGGACAGAGAAACATGAAAACAAATCCATTAGTGCTGGTAAAGTCATTAATTATAGGAAAATAGGTTTCCCTATCATGGTCCTTAGTTATAGGATTACATTTTCCTTGGAACACTTGCTATACAAATTACTTATAGCTTAGGTATAAAAAGCTGCATTTCACTGATTTTGAAGTAATTTGGAATATGGGAAAATTAAAAACGTTCTTTAATTTCCTTGTAATTAACAAGCAAATATTACTTATAGCTAGGAATAAAGAACTGTATTTCATAAAAATATGCAATGGGATTGCAGTTGTACAATAGTAGCTAGCTCACCTTGAACCATTTTATTTCTTCTTGTAGCTCGAGTGCAGGGCCGGGCTTGGTTCCTCCGTGATAGTGCTTCATGTGTGCAACTTGGTGCAACAATGTGTAGCCATTATGGTCGATTGTCGAGCTCATCCTGGTCACTAGTCTGTTATTGTTCTTGACAACACGGAAAACCCCCCGCTGTCGATGCATCACAGCCAAATGCAATATGTTCTGCCCCATTTGATTAACAAGCTCAATACTCTGAGGAAATTTATCTAGTATTTCTTGAGCAATCTCTACTATTCCATTACTAGTTGCTACAAACAACGGGTGTGAAGGAGTCTCGTGTCTTCTATTTTCTTCGGTCGATGGTTGAACATTTTCATCATTTTCTACTTCTCCTTCTCTTCCTCCCCCACCTTGTCGGTCACTTTGTGCTCCTCTTGCTCTTTGATCAAGGGTATTGATATTAACCAGTGTGGGCTCCGCATTGATAGATTGCAACCAGTAGCTCTGGCTCTTTTTTATAAGCTCCTCGGCAAGCTTCAATGCAGATTCATGCTTGTGCTTTTCTTTCCGGATTCTTTCCACCACTGGCCAGCCTATCATGTTTCCTCATATGTGAGATATACAAAGAGAGAGAGCTTGCTATAATGAATTTTATGCAAATATGGACGGAGGAGTATACAGAAAGTACTATACAAATGTTGAATTTTGGTGAGATGTGTACAAATTTCAACTCCTACATCAATTTTCGTAGATTTCTTTTTTCGACAAATTTGTATCATGCACTCAAGCAATAAATAGTGCAAAGGCAATAAGGGATTTGAATTATCCATAACAACAACTGTATTTAAATGCAGTAACTTTAATAATTCGAAATATAGATTGGATAAAAACACCTGCACTAAAAGTCTTTCATAATTAGAAGCTCGTTTACTTGGTATTGGGAAAGCTCCAGAGGTAAACTTTAATCCTTTATAACTAGCTAATATAGAATTTCAGGCTTCGGAAAGAATTGGATATGGTACTGCTTCACGTAGAGATCTTGTGGTATCATGTAAGTCATTGGTTTGGGGGGCAAAAATACCAAAATTTACCATGCTCTTACAATTGTAAAAGGTAAGGAGACCTATGTTGAAAGCTGGTGTCCTGATATAGATGTTTTGATCCGCGTCTACATTTATAGCTGGTGTATTGATGCTGATATTTTAATCCAGGAATATAATAATTATATATAAAATAATTCAACATAAATTATAAAATATAATTTTTAATTAATTTAATATTAAAAAATAAAATTAAAAAAATAACTTAAATTAACATACTAAACCCACGTATAAGACTCTCACATAAAGTAAACAAAAACATATCATAAAACATAATTTTTAATTAATTTAATATTAAAAGATAAAATTAAAAAAATACAAAAATCACTTAGAGTTAATTAAGGTTAACCCGTCAAACTCATGATTCAGGTCATGACATTAGAATAACATCATAAAAAAAATTAAAAAATAATTTGAGTCAATTCAAGTTAACCTACTAAATCTACAATTCGAGTTATATGACTGAAATAACTCTATAAAAAACAAATTAAAATAAATTATGAAGCTCAATTCTCAATTAATACATTGTTGAATAATGAATCTACTTTGAGAATAATCTCCTAATCTATTAAGAAAATAAAATGACTTAAATCTACTTAGGTTAACATATAAAATTCATAATTTGAGTTATAAAACTAAGATAATTTTATAAAAAATAAATTAGAACAAATCATGAAGTTTAATTCCTAAAAAATCAACGTTAAAGCATCAATTTAAAAAAAAAAAATTGAGTATATTAGATTAAACCGTCAAATCCACTACATAGGTTACGAGACTGAGATAATTATATAAAACATAAATATTAATAAATCATAAAGTTGAATCATTAACAAACCAAATATTAAAAGATGAAATATATATATATATTAAAACAAATAAAAGCAAAAAAAAAAATTGTGTCTTGTGAGGTGATGACCATTCACCATTTTTTTTAATTTTTTTATAATATAAATTGAGATATCTACCTTTCTTTAATGTTTTGAACGGATTAAGATTTAAGAATTAATGACATTTAAAATTATAATTTAATATTTTTTTCCACCACGTCGACAATTAATCCGGCTTTGAGAATATAAGCCAGCCCGGCGGCCTACCTCCCAATCCCAAGCATAAGGCCGGAAACAATTCTTGCTTGACAGCAGGAAGTTTCGTCCTTCCACGAAATACTTGTGGAATTTACTGAGGATGATTTTGTTGCATGAGCAGTATCGTTATTGTTTCTACTGCTCTGTGTACCAATGCTTTGAACCCTGGTTGCTTGAGTTTAAAACCACAAGATCCCCAGGGAGCATCAGTCAGCTCAATGGTATTATCAATATAATAGTGGAATTACTTCTATGATTTAGGCTGTCAAGATGGCAAAATAGTTTCAATCTTCAGTACCTCTTTTACTCCGGCTCTGGTCGCAGCCATCTCCCTTTGGGGCGGAAAGCCCTGCCAAAAACTCACGACTTAAGTCAAATCAAACCTTCTGGGATTTAAAGTAGCGTAAGCAATACAATTTGACATGCTATCCTCAAAAAATTAAAAAAAATTAAAAACTGGAAAATCAGTGTTTAATCAATCGGTTAAACAGCTTGCCTTGAGAGCCGATGTTCGAGCTGGGGTTAGCTTATTAATAATGCCGATCAAAGAAATAAATGGAAAGGAAAAGAAAATATTGCATTAGACATACAACAGTATAACAATTTCCTAATGGAAATTGTGGGAATTGCATATCCACTCTTGAAAGCACTAGGCATATCAGCGAGGAGATGAAGACAGGTCATGCCCTGATCATCGGTCATGTCGCCAAGTGATGGATCCAGTTTCAGCAACGTCAGAGCAGTTTCTGCATTGAAAGTATAGTGTCATTTGAATGTGTGTAGCATGCGTGTCTGTAGATGTCTTAAGAGTTTCATTTGAGAGAGATAAAGATTAAGAACAAAACCAAAGTGTTGTCCTTGGATGGCAGCATGAAGAATCGGCGTCAAATCCCCTCTCTTGCGGTGATCTTCTAATAGCTTGCCGTAGGAGATTTGCCCCGGCAGTCTAGCTAAATACTCCACCATTTCTTTGTTACCACATGAAGCAGCTCTATACAACGTGGTCTCGCCAAGCATATTTCTAGCCTGAAGTTGCTCTGAAGGATGAAATTCACCCTGTTCTCTAGGGATAGTCTGGAGTAAGAGCTTTACTGCTTCCATATTTCCAGCAACAACTGCTTCATGAAGAACTGTGTTTCCATACGTATTCTTTTTAGTCAAGGGATTCCCGAGAGTTGGGTTTCTGTTAACAATACCGAGTAGACCTTGAAGCGGCTCGCGCCTTTCGCTATACACTGCCAGGTGAAATGAAGTATCTTTTGAAACCGTCACTGGAAGCATCACGTAAACATAATTTTGTCCATGGTAAGCAAGAATCATCCGATTCCAGTCTCCTTCCAAGGCTGCTAGGTAGGCCTCGTTTACTACACTTGAATATGTACCCATCAAGCCTTCTCTTCTTTGTCAATCTTTGAGTTCTCTGCAATTATAAGATGCATTTCCTTCATGACTTGTCTGCATTAAAAAAAAGAATACTATCTGCAAATTCTCAGTCATTGCTTACTATTTTCAAAGTGTTTTGCAAAATCTATTTCAATTTTTACTTGTCAGTGTCATTTAGAAGATAAGGAAAAGACTCGTCCACAAGGAAAGAAGGGGCGACAGATTTTATGCTCCTATTGCTGGATCAGACTTCGTTTAATCAAAAGATGTGATATTCAATTGACGTGGAAATTGTTGCGGATTCGCTTATAGTCCATGTAGAAAACACTACCTCATAAAGAAGCCTCCGAAGAAGCTCGGAAATATCAGATGCAACTTTTTTGCGGTCGAGAAGTCCACAGCCCACAGCCACCGGAAACTTCTTTTCAACTTCTAAGTACTCAATTTTTCAAAATGAACTAGACTAGGATGGGTCTTTTTCAAGGATACCGGTACAAGTAAACCATGCAAAATTTATTTACCGGGATGATAATAATAAAAGTTGTTTTTCAAAATATTTTTTATTTTTTAAAATTTATTTTTAATTTCAGCTCATCAAAATAATTTAAAAATAAAAATAATTTAAAATAAAAAATAAAATTTTAGAACTTTAAAAAATTTCAAGTGGACCACACGCGCCCTTATTTCAGGAGTTGCACTCTATCGTCATTTTACTTAAAAAATAATTATTCATGTTCCCTGGATTGCTTTCTTTTTGTCAGAAGAATTTTTACATGTATGAAAAATTATACTATTTCTTAGAACTCATAAATTATTTTAATAATAGATCTTATATTTTATGAGAGATTGGACACCAACTCCTCGCATACATAATAATCTTTGAGTTTTTTCTTTCCTAGTTTAATTACCAAATTTTATTTTTGACAAGCTAGTATACTTTAGTTATATTTTTAAATAAGATGAACAATTCCAAACCTAAAAAGAGATTTAATCACATCAAATGACCTTTCTAATAAAAACGGATCATAACTCTTTGATATGACCTTTGGAAATTTTTCTAGCAGGTTCTTGTAAGTCAAGTTCTATAGCATGATAGCTTGTTGTACCCAATGGAGGCTGGAAAAGTGTTTAACTTAGGCTCGGGAAAAATTGTTTTTGTTAATCTATTATTTTTATTATTAGATTTTTAGCCTTAATTTGGAATTTTATTTTTATTTCTCATCTCTAATTAGGAATTCTAATTTTCTTAATGCAGAGTTTAGGGGTAGTTTCACACCCAACATCTATTTGCCCCTAACCTGTACAATATTCTTAATTATTAAAAAAATACAATATTTAAATTAAATAAACCGTGATTCTTGATTAAAAATAGCTAGAAAAAACTATTTACTTGAGTAAATTACGATATAGTCTTTGTGTTTTTATGATTCTATAAGTTAGTTCTTTCAAGTAAAAAAAATATAAAAATCCCTTTTAATATTCACAATACTCTTAATGTTTAAACTCATTCTCCTCCATATTATAAGAATTTTGGATTAAAAAAAGCTTTATATAATATTCTTAAATTTGTAGATGATTATGCTACTGCCATACTATCTTAAGGGGAGTTAATTGACTATTGTAATTTGCTATATGTTTTAAATAGGATTTTGGATCTCAAATTTGATATATTTCGGTACCGTACTTTTTTTATAATTTAATTAGATTTTATCATGAAACAACATATATTGGTCAAAAAGCTTCTAGTCCAGCTAACCCCAAGTCAACCGAAAAATTCAAGCCGACCACAGTGAATACATGGTTAGGTAATTTGGGCTGTAGACCCAAAGACTTTGGAGTTGACTTCACGATGGTTAGGTAATAGTGATGACTCGCGCATCGCAGAGTATCAATCACAAGTTATGTGACAGGCAACACGTGGCTCAATAAAACTCGTTTAAGCTCATCACTCAAGCTACTTATGTACCTTCCATGGAAGGGCTGGTTAAGCTCCACTGTATCGCTAGTTTTTTTTCATGGAATTCATGCAAAGAGTATATAAAAAGTATATATTTTTAACTTAAGTGTGGTTTGTGTTTTA